CCATAAATGCTTCTGATTAAATTTTAAATATAGGGGGAAATCTACTTTAAATAAATTGAAACTAATCAAATAAGAAGATAGCAATATGGAATTATTCTTCTTAACTCAACTGGTTTGTGAACAGAACTGATGAGACCACAGACAGAAGGTCATATTGAGTCCAGGAACGTAGGCACAGTTCTAAAAAATTAGTAGCATATATGTTCACAGTCATTTATTTCACATTTGTGTATCACTGTCAAAGGGTGGATAGCACTAGAGAATAGAGACAAATAAAATACTAAATTATTTTCAACATTGAAAAACTGTTCCAAGCTCATATTTCTGTCAGTGAGATTGTACCTTCCTCTTCAAAGCCCAAAATACAAATAAATCAATTCTGTTCTACTCCCCTAGCTTTCTAATATTTTTTTTAATCTGTAACAAGAATCTTTCAGAGCCAAATGTACAGAGCTCTTCTTTTTGCTATAACACTTATAAGCGTGGTTTGGTTTGAAAATATAAAAAAATTAAAAAGACAAAATTTTCCTCAACATGAGAAAATAGGCATCTGATTATAAGTTATTTGGGGAATCCTTGAAGTGGTGATACTTTTTTCTAAAACTTTCTGAAAAAACATATGATATAGTGTTCAGACAGATGTCATATGTCAGACTACAATGTCTTGATATTTTAAACATTAAGACAAGCAATGCTCTGCAGGCCCAACTTGACATGATTTATCATTCCACATTCAAGAAAAAAATATTTCATTCCTAATTTGTTTAAGCCTTCAGTTTAATTAGAAAATATGATTAGGGTATTATGTATAGTCTCTTATTTATTTATACTTGTCAAAGCATTTTATTCCCTAACAATTAATATTTTTCACATGAAAAAGAAGATAGGAAAATTAAGAAAGATACATGATGAATATGACAGAAGTCTGTACTTCCAAATCTTGATATTTAGTTCTGATCTTTTCTTAATTTCTTCCATTTAAATGTTTCTACTTTCTGCCAGGCAATAACAATAGCTAACATTTATTGAGTGCTTTGTAAGTGCCAGGCACTTAACATGTTTTTATTATTTCTTCCCCATGACAACCATCTAAGTGACTATTATCATTCCCCTTCTACAGATGAGGACAGTAAGTTTTAGAGAACTGAAATAACAAATGACATTTGTACAGCTGATAAGGAAGTCTCCTGAAGGAGTTGGCAAAAATAATTGAAGTACTTGGCTTTGTGTTTCAGGCAAAATCATCATCATCATCATCATCATCAATCAACCTATCAATCAAAAAAAGTTTTAAAGAAGGAAAATATATAACATCCATAAAAAGTACAGGAGTAAGAAATTCCTTGCTCAAAACGTAGAACACAGCAGAACCCATTTAACCAACCAATCTCACCCATCTAACAAAGGTATGTTAAATATACTTTGTTTTTTCTGCCTCTGCCTTGGTTTCGAAAAGGACAAAAGACTTGTGCAGGAGTTACATAAAAGTCATATGTACTATTTATAAAATTGAAAGATATTGACAGAAATCACTGCCAATGCCTATAACCTTAGATGATCCTATAGTTGATATTTATTTGCCTTTTAATAAAAATATAAATCACTTTAATTCCCTGAGGCTAACCTCACTCATCTAAATTATTTATGTACCCATTTTAATATGTATTTTGCATCTGACAGGACAACTCTCCTTAGGACTCTCTTTCTGACCCACCTGTCATTATGATGGGGTAAACAATGTCACCTTTCTAGTGCTCCATGAATTACAAAGAAGTTTCAAAGTACACCATCCATCACACTGGCACTAAGTAGGTTTTTTGAAGTAGATCTCAGATATCACAAATGCTGTTACCAGAAAGCACAAATTGGAAGCTTATACAAAATGGTCATATGATGAATGGACATGACATGTCTTCAAAGTAAAGGGGCACTTCTCTTCTACAAACAACCTTGTCAAAAGCAAAACTTGTGGTAAGATTTGCTGGCAGACAAAATAGCACAGTTTAAGAACTTGGTAAAGGCTCAGCCTGAGAAAATCGTGCAGTTGAAATGTTCTCACAATCAAAAAGGAGGTATGTGCTGCTAGTGATCGCTATGCATTTATAATAGTCACCTAGAAATCACTTTGTTTTTGAAAGTCACACTAACATAGTTTGAGTTTTAAGAATCAGTATTAATAATGTATATGCTTTTTGATATAGATACTTAAATTAATATGTACTTAGTGTGATAGATTTGCATTATTAAAGTGCCAATTAAGATAGTTAATGTCACTATCTTCACCTAACTTGCATGATTTCTCAAATTATTTTTTTGAGTACAAGGTATTTGTTTTATACATCACTGCATGCATTATAATTAGTTTTGAGTTTTAGTTTCCCTTTTGTTTAGTCCTAATATTTCATATATGGAGTGTATTTCTACATCTACACTTAACTTTAACTCTGCCTTTTAGGAGCTGCCTTATAAAAATTCTCTTTTACCTCTTCCTCATTCAAAAGGGTAGTTTTAATACATTTGTAAATGGTTCGACAGATGCCAAAAAGGGGTTTATTTCTTCAAAAACATTTGTATATTTCCACGAATAAGCAGTAGCTCTAGGCTTTCCTTTTTATGAAACAAAGGGAAAAAATAGAACATTTATAACTAATGTAAATATTTAGAAAACTGTCAGAGTGATGGACTCTTTTCTATGAAATTTATTCAATCTTATTTTATATCTAATGGGCCAGAAGATTATTACATGCTAAGGAAACAGGGACATTAGCTGTAGTTTCCTGGTTTTTTCATTTTATCTCCTCAAAGAATGATCAGTATTTATCAGATAAAAATGAAAGGCAAGTAAAAAGGGGGTGATACCAAGGATTTCCTGAAACTACTGGTGTCTCTGTGATTGTTCTGTTTCAGACATTCTTTTGTTTGGGAGAAAAAATATGTTGTTGGACTTGAGACATTTGGAATAAAGAGAAGGCTGGAAGTATGTGGGCCTTATTTACTGTAGGAATGTAGAGTAAATGCCTGGGGTTATACTATGGTTTAGAAATGAGGTGTCCTCCAAAAGCTTCATGTGTGACACAATGCAAAAAAGTTTAGAGGTGAAATAATTGGATTATGAGAGCCTTAACCTAGTCAATGCATTAATCTGCTTAACTGTATTAACTTGCTCATTGTTGGCAGGTAGGGTGTGGCTGGAAGAGGTGGGTCACTGGAGGGTGTGCCTTTTACAGTATATATTTTGACTCTGATGAGCAGAGCAGTCTCTCTGATTCCTGATTTTCATGTTGTGAGCAGTTTTCCTTCATGCCCTTCTGTCTTGATGTTCTGCCTCACCTCAGGCTCAGAGCAATGGAGTCAGCTATCTATGGACTGAGACCTCTGAAATCATGAGCCCCAAATAAACTTTTCATTCTCTACGTTGTTCTTGTCAGGTCCTTGGACATAGTGGTGAAAAAGCTGACTAAAACAGGTTATTTTTAAAATCTGGCTTAAGTCCAAAGATTTTGACCAAAGAAAAGTAGCTAGCTGGCTGCCTTCTTCTATCTTCATTACAGGTGTATTTAGCTTCCATTATTACACCAGAAAGAGTGTACATTAATCCAAATTACATGAGTCCTTTACCAGAAATACTGTGGATATTTATCATTAAATTAAATTCTAATTAATGGTAAAACATTTCAAGATTGTATGGGTTATGTGCAATTCTTCCAAGAGTGTGACACAATGTAGCAAAGAAATATGCTGAAGCACCTGTATCCCATGCCCTGGGCCCCCAAAAAGGAAAAAGATGTATTAGAAACTAGAATTCAGGCCTGGCATGGTTGTGCATACCTGTAATTCCAGCGGCTCAGGAGGTGAGGCAGGAGAATCTCAAGTTCAAACCAGCCTCAGCAAAAGTGAGGCACTAAGCAACTCAATAAGACCCTGTCTCTAAATAAAATACAAAATAGACCTGGGGATGTGGGTTAGTGGTCAAGTGCCCCTGATTTGGGGGAGCACCCCCCCAAAAAAAAGAAAACAGCATTCATTTTTACATTATTTGAGTATTTCTGTAGAGTAAAATTAAACAACTTAAATATCCCATGTTAGTCATAGTTAACAATAAGATTCTCAAAACTTTATACCATAAACACTAATTACAAATGACATTATTTCATTTGTATTAAATGAGACCATCCATAGTTTTGTTTAAAAAATTAAAATGTTAAAATTTCACTTTTACATTGGGACACCAAACTTGCCTATATGAAAGAAACAAGTAATCAAGTATACAGCATTGCATCAACCTCACACATATTAGTTAATTTAATTCTCAAAGTGACTTTAGAAAGCTGGACCTGTTACTATTCCCATTACAGAAATAAGAAAACTTAGCACTGGTGGCTAAGTAACAGTGGGTAACCACAGAGGTGAAATTTAAAACTAATGCCTGCAGCTCTAAAAGTCTTGTACTTAACCACCATACCCAACGAACCCATCATGCCAAAATCCAGCTAACCAAGAAAAGGTAAAGAAACTATCCACACCTGGTTCCCTATCACATGTGTTTTCCATCATGCAAGCAGATGCTCTGTATTTCACAACTTAAATGTGTGAGTAATCACATCAATTTTCCACTTCATTTCTTGTGTGCACACACAGCCTCAAAACACAGTCCTCTCTATTACTATTCTTTCTCTCCATATCAATGCATTAAAATTTGCCTCTTGAAAACCATAAACAAAATAGACTTTGCACTCTATGGACTGAGCAAAACGTGAATGATCGGCCACACATTCAACACCTTTGAATTAAATCCTTGGAACACGTTTTCACTTTCAAAATATGATAGGAAAAGGCTCAGACAATCCCTATCTTCTTTCCCTTTCCTGGCACCTCCACACTGAGAACATTTACTGGTTCCTTTTGAATGTTGCATCTTGCCAGTTAGTTCAATTTAGATGAAAGCTGTTGTTTTCTAATTCCATTTCACTGTAAATGACAGAGACAAATGGTCATATTACCTCGAGAGTTCCTTTGGCAGAATAGGCTGCATAGGAGTATAGCGGATCTTGGCTGCTATCTTTTCTGGCTTCTTCACTACAAGGCTGGCCATCAGGATGAAAGCATTGGCCACTGCTGCTCACAGTCACAGTGCTGGGAGATGGACCTGGCAGGTTCAGCAGCACAGAATAATTTGCCAACTGTACATCTTCTAGGCCCAAAGAAGTCCAGTGAGTCTTAATCCTCTTTGAAATTTCCATGTCATCTTCATTTTTATAGAGTTCTACCAAATTTCTGAAAGACATTTTGAAAGTGTGTTTTAAAAATGGAAAAATCTTTATTCTTTTAATATATAACTGTTCACTATGTAAATAATTATTAATGGGTGTTGTGGGATGTCGAAAGATAATGAAAATAGATCCTACCATAGGAAATTCACAGTGTGGCGGAGGTGATAGACCTGCACAGCCATTATATTAAATAAAGCAGGATGAATTAATTTCTTAAGAACTAATAGAGCACTTATGACTACAGAGAAGAGTGATCAATGCCAACTCTTTCTCGTAATCGTTCTGACCCTTCTACCAACATCAGCACAATTCATTTAAAACTCAGTTCCAAAACTACTTATCATGCTGAGATAGTCCTGTATTCTGGTTAATGTGAATCCACATAAAACTACTGATTATCATATAGCTATCTCTTTTTAAAATAATACAGAGCACATTAGACACTATTTACCTGCCAAATTATGTGATATTCTCACAGTGACTTTAGAAAGCTGGACCTATTACTATTCCCATTACAGAAATAAGGAAACTTAGCACTGGTGGCTAAGTAACAGTGGGTAACCACAGAGGTGAAATTTAAAACTAATGCCTGCAGCAAAATAATGTTTGACAAAATCTATATACAATGGTAAGACCAAAACACAGTGCCATACCAATATATAATTAATGTTTTTGCTGTTTTCTATAGATCATCTATTTTCCCTATGCTTATTCCTATTTTGCTTATGACACCTTAGTATCTAGACAAAATCTGTTAAATATGTGCATTATAGTATGTAGAAGACAATCAAACTTGGGAACTTAATGAAAAGTATTAAAATCAGATAAAGTTTGTGTGTTTATATGTGTGGCTAAAATGAAAGGCAACTGAAAAGGAGCTTGCTTCTTTTTTGAACAAAAACATACTTCTTATGAGAAATGTATGGCTATCATCATTGTATGGCTTACTTAAATTTAAGTTGATATTATCGTTATGCCCATCAGATTGTTTTTCTCACACATACTTATTTCTTTCAGGACCCTATTTATTTAGGAAACTGAAAACATGCACATATGGTAAAAGAATGAGAGTTGGACACAAGAGTACAGGAAAGTATTACTTGAGATAAAAGGTGGGCCTGCTGACATGGTTTGGAAGCATGCCAATGTATAAATGTGCAATAATAAGCAGTTTTCTAGTTGTTTTGCATCTTTTTGAGGCCACCTATATTAATCCTTTCTGTCTTTTCCTTATAAATATCCAGTTGAATCGGTTAACAATAATATATTTTATGAAACTAGAAGAATTTCATTTTTTTGTTTCCCATAAACCTGCCTTCTACCAAGTTAGGTTGTTGCTTTATCTGCTCTCCACCTCTCCCCACCACCATTCCCTTTCTTTACTGTTATTGCATTCTGTAGGCACTTTGGGGAAAAGGCAGGTAAGCTGAGTTAAAACTGTACTCACTTTGATGAAAAGGTCATTTGGAAGATGCATTAATAGTATTCTTTTACATGTGTATAGTAAGCAATGCCAAAATGCTTTTAAAAGGATTTTGATTACTCTCCCCCAGGATTTCATGAGAGCGCTTACTCCTTCATTTCATCTAACACTTGGTGTTGTCTTTTTTTTAACAGTATTTATTTTATACTTTGGCTAATATGGAGGGTGTGAAATTGTATTTCATTATGTGTTTAACTCAGAAGTACAATCACTTGTTTGCAGGATCTGCTAATTAGTTTTCCAAAGCATTTTATACCACCAGCTTGTTTAGGATGCCCCACAGTCAGTGTATTTAATTACTGCAGTCCAATGAAGGTAAAATTTTATCCTATTGTGGTTTTAATTTGCATTTCCATGATTACTGATGAGAATATTTTCATGAATTATTTATTTATCCATGTGTCCTGTTCACTGAAATAACTGTTCTCATCTTTTACCCATATTTATGGAAGTTTTTGTATGTTCCAGATAGTCCTTTTTAGGATATATGCATGGCATTAATCTTCTCCAGATTTCTGGTTTCTCTCTTCATTTTCAATATGTTATCTTATGATGAACAAATGTTTATAACTTTGGTGTACATAATTTTTAATATAACATATGATTCACACGTTTTCTGATATGCTTTCAAAACGTTTCTGAAACTTGAGATCATAAAGTTATTCTAATTTTTTTCTAAGAGTTTTAAAGAATTGTCTTTCTCATCACAGGGTCTACCTGGAGAAAGAGGAGGAAACAAGCAGGGATAGGGCCAGAGGGAATACTGTGAGGTGGGACGCCAATCTCATCTTTCCCACATGAAGAACAGCCCTGGAGACCCTTTTCAAAAATCCCCACTAATTCACAGAACCAAGTGCCTCATATGTGAGCTTCTATACGTGTATGGGTCTGTCTGAGCTCCCAAAACAATTACAATAGTCTTTTTGATCCATATTCATAATGACGAGCTATTTTATTATTATTACTTTATAATATGTCTTCATATTCAAAATGGCAAGATGCCCCACTTGTTCTTCTCCAAGAACATCTTAATTATTTTTTTTTCTCTTTCATATTAATTGGATTGAGTTTTTCATTTCAATGTCCAGATTGTGATTATAATTACATTGAGACTAAGAATCAATTTGGGAAGATATATCATCCTTATATAAAATATCATTAAATCCTTAATATTATTGCTATGATCTGAATGTTTGCATATTGCCAAGATTCATATGTAGCAATCCTAAATCTCAAAGTGATGGTGTTAAAAGGTGGGGGTCTTTGGGAGATAATTACATCATGAGGGCAGAGACTTGAAATAAAATTAGTATTACTGCAAAAGAAGTCTGAAAGAGTTTTCTTGCTCTTTCCACAGAGTACAGAAACTTAGCTGGAAAGCAACATCTGTGAGGAAGCAGGACCTCCCCAGACATGTCAAGCACCTTGGTCTTAGACTTCCAGGTCTGGAATGGTGAGTAGTAGATTTCTCTTATTTATAAGCTGCCTAACGTCTGTTCAGGTTGTTATAATGCAGACTAAGACAATCTTTAAATATCTGGTGAATATTAACATAATGTGATTTAAAAATTTTAAAATCTGCTTATTTTTTGCTGCTATAGAAGAATACTAACGCATTGTACTACAAAGGAATCCTGATTAACTCTCTTACTAATTATAATATTTCTCCTTTTTTTGTTTTCTATGTAAAAATATTTTATAAGAAAATAACAAAACTTTTATTCACATCTTTCTCATAATTTAGAGATTTTATTATTTTATTTATATATTGTTTGGATTACTTGATAGGCTCTGATCACCAAAAATATTTCATGAAATATTTAATAAGGTGTGTTAGTCTATGTTGTGTTATGAATATTAGTTTTAAAAATTTCTTCCTATTATCCTCTTGTTAAGAGATGTTCTTTGAACAGGTATTGGATTTTGAAAGAAATTCTGATGTATTTATTAAGACAGTCATATGATCCTTTTCTTCAATATAATGAATATATTAACTGGTTGCTTAGAGTTAAATCAAATTTGTATTTTTAAGATAAAATCTACTTAACAAAAATGCATTATCATTTTAGATAGTATGTGATTTATTTGGCAAATATTTTATTCATAATATCCATTTCTTATTTTAAAAGTAAAGTTGGTATGTGATGTTCCTCTCATAATGATTCTCAGGAATCATTATGTTTAATTATGGTTTGAAATGATATAAATAATTAGAATTCAGGAAAATAACTTATTATTAAATTAGAAATTGTTGTACTCAGTGTTCATATTATGAAAGAACTATGAACTTCTGACTCAATGTTATAATAAATTCTTTATTTCTTCCTTTAATCCTGCTCTATATTGCTCTCTCTGCTATTTGCTATTCATCCTCACATTTTCAAGTTTCTGGTTTCATCACTGTTAAAGTACTCTTTCCTGTGTTTTGTTTCCCTTGTTGATTTCTCGTACTGCACTATTAGTTCAGGATAGTTGTATTTAAAAGAAGGTTTATTTTATATATACAACAACTATGTGTGAGAATGTCTGTTTCAAAATATTACCCCAAATAGAAGTGCTCTAACTTGAAAACCTAATGACTAAGACATGATTTCTTTTCATGTATTGATTGCTATTTGCACAATGACCAAAGGGGGAGCACTAGAAAAGTAGTAAAGAATTATGACCTTGGGCTGGGGTTGTGGCTCAGGGCTAGAGAGCTTGCCTCCCACATGTGATGCATTGGGTTGGATCCTCAGCACCACATAAAAATGAATAAACAAAATAAAGATGTTGTGTCCATGTATAACTAAAAATATATTTTAAAAAAGAATTATGACCTAAGTTTCTCCTTCCGTGGACTAATAATGTAGGTATTCATTTAAAGTTTATTGATATGCTATTATTTGGCACATTATCTCACCTATTACAGATTAGATTATTCAAATCTCCTATATCATGATTGTTGATGATTCAAGGGGATATGAGAACATCTTTATAGTAAGATTCAGAATCATCTAAAAAATAATGATGGCATTTTTGGATACACAGATTTTAAAAATACTGATGTTTAAAAATGATAGTAGAAAAAATATTTCTTAATAAATAGTGGATAACATTCCAAACAGTTAACCATAACTTAATAACTATCTGTTCAAGTTCCATCACCCTAAGGTTTTTTTTTTTTTAAGAACTGCACTACCTTGCCAAGTACAGTGGCACATGCCTGTAATTCCAGTGGTTCAGGAAACTGAGGCAAGAGGATTGAGAGTTCAAAGTCAGCCTCAGCAACAGCAACTCACTGAGAACCTATGTCTAAATAAAATACAAAATAGGGCTGGGGATGTGACTCAGTGGTTGAGTGCCCTGAGTTCAACAATCCCCAGTACCAAAACAAAAAACAAAAAACAAAAAAGTGCTACCTTTTAAAATTATATCTTGAATTTATCAAATTTTTGTATATACCTATCTTGTTTAAAAAAATGATTTCAAAGAAGCCCTATAATTTCATTGCTTTGAAATTATTCATTTATCTATAAACT